GGTTCCACCACGCTGCCTCACATACATGTATTGACATTGGCAGGCCCCTTGAGTGTGATTCCATAATCTACACGTAATATCCTGTACTTTTTCTAGAATGAAACACATTTAGGGTTAAAATGACCAACCTTCGGAAAGTTGGACACACGCCCTTATTTGTTACTTTTTGCGGTTGTTTGTGTGCTGTTCTAAATTTTGATTTCATTCTGTTGTGATTTGTGAAACCTTTATTTTTCACGTTTTTACACTCTATGTCTACAAATTATATTCTGGATGCTTAAAACAGAGCACAAGAAATTCTGGAGCTTTAGAATAAGTTACCTCTATCAATATTATTACGTCGTCATAGCTAGTTGAAAGCTTGAAAATTAATGGCAACTTTTGCCATTTTTGTGGCAACTTTTGGACAGAAAAAATGGCAACAAACGCAGGTGCTAGACTATTAGTAGTATTACTATTAGGTTATTTAAGAGGCTGGACCTCAGTTTAATATCCATCTCCAAAAGGACTGAGCCAAATGAGAAATTTGTGTAAAGTGCCATTCCCAGGGACTCACAATCTCACATACTGTTCGTATTAGCATAGGCTACAGAAGATTCAGCAGTGCTCATTTCACGATAAGCTCAATACTAATTTTCAACAAAACACTTAAAAGTTATTATATATTTTGTATTATAATTTTTTTATTCTTCTTTTACATTCACTAAGTTGGTGTGGCTCAGAGACATGAGGCATGATACACAAAGTACACTGTGTTGTATTTAGAATAATGTTATACAAAGCAAGAAACTCATGCTGACTGGTAGAAACTGTAATACAGTGGAAACAATATAACAGGGCCGGCAATAACAGGGATTTTTTAAATCCCCGTTATTTCCTACTTTTTGGCTCTACTTAAAGTTATCAGCAATAACAGGGCCTCATTGGAGCCCAATCGGTTATAGCAGGGACAAAGGCTCGTTAACAATGTGTAAGAAGAGAGAGAGAGAGATAGAGATAGAGATAGAGAGAGATAGAGAGAGAGAGAGAGAAACGCAGTGTTAGAGCAAGCCCACGCTTCTGCAACGTAAGCACACGCAGCGGGTGAAGCAAGAGAGGGCTGCAGTGTGCTGCAGACTTCGATCTAGCTCTAAGCCCAGCAACACGCACACGTAATGTGTCATGCGCAGGGTACTCGTGGAAAGGGAAACTACCCATGAATAAATACAGCTGTATTAGTCCACAAATGCTTACTTCCCTTGCATTTCTGATTTTAACAGGGATCCGTGTAACAGTAACAGGACTTTTTTTCTGGTCCCACCATTCTACTGTAAACCATTTCTCTGTTTGTGTAAAGAGAGGCACATCAACACAATAATGGACATTTAGGGCTGGTATAAAGTAAGACAGACAGAAATAGGGAAAATAAAGAAGTAGGACCTACCAATGGAACCCTCTAAGCATCAGGTGGGATAAAACCAGAGATGGAAAGTGAGTACATGTATAACTAAAACTTGAAACTTAAAATTTTTTATCTTCTTTATCATTACATGTAGCCTACCATCATTCACATTATCATACATCTGTTACAATAAGTTCCACCTTCCCAATATTTTACACCAAAAAAATTACATACTGTAGAAGTTTTATGCCCCCATCAACACAATTCAAATTATTTAGGAGGTGGAATTCGACTTTGCCTGTCAGAATTATCCCGCGTTGAGAGTAAGAGGGATACAGCATCCTTGCAGAAAGACGGAGATTTGGTTTTAAAATCTTCCCCACAAGGGAAAGGTGGGGCATGTGCTTAACTAGTAATACCGGTACACGGACAGAGATAGCCAAGCCTTCTCTATCTGTTATAGCCAAGACTTATATCATAAGTGGTTGACAAATCAGATAAGAATTGACAACAAAGATGCCCGTAACTTTCTGGTAATTGCAACTGTCAATGCATCAGATATCAAGGGTAGTGTAATAAATTTAAGGCTTGCAGGTTGACCAAGCACATTTAGTACAGACTCTTTTGTTCTGTTAATGTCTTTTGTTACAGAAAACAAATTTAAATGTCTTTTCAAATGTACTGGTACGGCCAATGACCTGAGCTAGAATAGAAAGCATCCATTAAAACAGCATCTATGACAAATACGATTACCTAGGAAAATCACACATTCCTTTCCCCTCTGAAAAAAAAAAAATTCCTGTGTCTATGGAAAGATAGCTGCTGCACTTTTGGCAAAATGTACAAAATAAAAACAATGAAATAAAAATTAAATCAAAACATAGAACTTATTCATAATGAATTTTCATAAAATTGTGTGATTAGTAAAAGCTTTTCCCCCACTTTAAATTGCAGACCAAAGAAGCATGATGACAGGCAACACCCCTTAGCTCATCAATTCAAAGTTCAAACCTGGCACAGTAAGGAGAACATAGGGAAAAGAAAATAAATGAATGAAAGAGAGTTAAGTATACAAGCTTAAAAGTTCTGGAAGATTTTTTTTATTCCAACAAATTATGTACACATTCCAACATTGAGCATTCTCTCACTATCAATAATCAGTCCTTTGTCTCTATCTTAACTGACAAAAAGCATAAAAACGGTACAGTTGGTCACTTCCAGTGTAACCAATAGAAAATTAATGGGCAAGACTTTCATTGCTTTTAATTAGAGCAACAAGTGCAATCAGCATGGTTTAATAACATTTGAGTTCACGGAGGTCCATTCTAGAATCAGCATTTACTCTTAAAAAACATTTGCCTGATACGACAGGGGGCTTGTTTTTTGTTTGTTTGAGTAAAGAGAAGCACATCGACATTTAAATATCGGTCATTTAGAGCTGGGAAAAAGTAAGACAGACAGACAGAAACAAAAGAGGTAAAGCAAAGAAGTATAACTATGACCTACCAGCAGTGCCCTCCAACCTTCTGCCAAAAGGCTTAGGTTTCATGTGTTTTACAAGTACACTATTGACACAATGCTAAGAAACAGAAAGTTGGACAGACAAAAGCAAGGACAGAAACAAATGAGGACTAGGCTGTGTCGACCAGCAACTCAATCTGTCCCCAGGGTTTTATGCACCCCGCATAGAAAAATGTGATCATTTTTTGCACAATTTCTTATAATTTTCCTTATCATTCTTTGTTAAAATTAACAAAATCGCATGATTTCACATTTTTGGGCTTAGTTTGCATAATTTCAGAATTATTTTTGCATAAAACCCCGGGGACAGCCCAATCCACTCTTGAGTCCAAAACCAAATGAAAAAAAAATAATCAACAAAATTATCACATTTAAAAAGGCAGATGCAAGACAGCAAACTTGAAAAAAAAAAGCACAGAGGGAGGGAGGGAGAGAGAGAGAGAGAGAGAGAGAGAGAGAGAGAGAGAGAGAGAGAGAGAG